CCCCCCCCCCCCCCCTCCTCCCCATCAAAAAAAAAAAAAAAAAAAAAAAAAAAAAAAAAAAAAAAAAAGGGGGGGGGGGGTGTGAGTGTGGATGTGGGGGGGATATGTGCCCCCCCCCCCCCCCCCCACCCACCCGGGGATGCCACATCACGACCGCCCCGCCGGGGGCGGTCCCCCCTAGCGCCCGCCAGGCTCCCGTTCCTGCCGGACGGATGGAAGGCCCTGTCTCTGGTCGTGTTGGCTGCGGGCCTGCGCCGCCAACTATAGGGAGAGGCGGTTGGGTGCGGGGTTCGCGGGTGGCGGAGCGGGCTGCCGGGCGGGGCTGGGAGCGCGGGCCGCCGGAGCCGAGCGCCGCCCTTGGCCTGCTGTGTGGCGGCGGCGGCGGCGGCCGCGCGTCTCCCGCTCGGTCCTTTCCCCGTGCCGCCGCCTGGCCTGGCCTGGCCTGGCCTGGCCTGGCCTGGCCTGGCCTGGCCTGGCCTGCCTGGCCTGAGCGAGCGAGCGAGCGAGCGAGCGTCCCCCCGAGCGCCCGCCAGGCTCCCGCTCCTGCCGGACGGATGGAAGGCCCTGTCGCTGGTCGTGTTGGCTGCGGGCCTGCGCCGCCAACTGTAGGGAGAGGCGGTCGGGTGCGGGTGTTCGCGGGTGGCGGAGCGGGCGGGGGTGGGAGCGCGGGCCGCCGGAGCCGAGCGCCGCCCTTGGCCTGCTGTGTGGCGGCGCGGCGCGGCGGCCGCGCGTCTCCCGCTCGGTCCTTTCCCCCGTGCCGCCGCCTGGCCTGGCCTGGCCTGGCCTGGCCTGAGCGAGCGAGCGAGCGAGCGAGCGAGCGGTCCCCCCCGAGCGCCCGCCAGGCTCCCGCTCCTGCCGGACGGATGGAAGGCCCTGTCGCTGGTCGTGTTGGCTGCGGGCCTGCGCCGCCAACTGTAGGGAGAGGCGGTCGGGTGCGGGTGTTCGCGGGTGGCGGAGCGGGCGGGGGTGGGAGCGCGGGCCGCCGGAGCCGAGCGCCGCCCTTGGCCTGCTGTGTGGCGGCGGCGGCGGCGGCGCCGCGCGTCTCCCGCTCGGTCCTTTCCCCCGTGCCGCCGCCTGGCCTGGCCTGAGCGAGCGAGCGGGGTTGGCGGGCGGGCGGCCTGCCCAGCGAGGCCGTTCAGCCACGTCTTCCTTGGCTGGCCAGGGGACGGCTTGGGCTTTTCCCTGCCCCTTCGGCCCCCACGCCCTCTCGGGCCGAGGGCGGCGGGCCCTGGCTTGGCCTGCCTGCCTGCCTGCCTGCCTGCCTGCCTGCCTGCCTCGTCTTCCTTAGAACAGGGGTTGGCTCGGGCTTCCCCCCATCGGCCCCTGGCGCCCTCTCGGGCCGAGGGCGGCGGCGTGGGTCCTGGGCGCGGTCGTGTGTGGCTGAGGGCCTGCGCCGACAACGACAGGGGGACTGCCTCGGCTGCGGGCTGCGGCGCGGCGGGCGGCGGGGGCGACCCCCGCCTCGAGCCCGCTGCCGCTGCCGCTGCCGCTGCCGCTGCCGCTGCTGCTGCTGCTGCTGCTGCCGCCGCCGCCGCCGCCGCCGCGCCGCCGCCGCCGCCGCCGCCGCTGCTGCTGCTGCGCTGCTGCTGCTGCTGCTGCTGCGGCCGCCGTCGGGGCCGGCCCGCCCGCTCGCGCCCGCCCATTCCCCGGTTGGGCGGCTTGGGCTTCCTTTCCCCTTTCCCCTTCGGGCCGGTGGCTGGACCTGCCTGTCGGTCTGCCCCGTCTGCCTCGTCTTCCTCGGGCAGGGGCTGGCTCGGGCCTGGCTGCCGGGGCCGTCGGAGGGGCTGCCTTCCGTGGCCCCCGGGGCCGAGCGGCCCCTGCCCGCGGTCGTGTGGGCTGAGGGCCCGCGCCGACAACTGTAGGGGGAACCACCTTCGGCCGAAGGCTGCTGTGGCGAGCTCGCCCTCGGGGCCGGGCGGGGGCCTTCCTCGCGCGGGCGGTGGTGCGGGGTTGCATCCAGCTGGTTGGGCCTCGCCCCCCGCGGCGGGCGGCAAGTCTACGCGCGGCCCTCTCCCACCCCCTGCCGAGCGTGCTCGCCCGCGGCGAGGCGGGCGCGGGTCCCGGGTCCCCCGGGGCCGGAGCCGGCCGGAGCTGGCCGCCCTCGGGGCCGGCCGGCCGGCGAGCGTGGCGGGCGGGGGCAAGAGGCGGTGCAGCGGGGTTGGCGGCTGGGGGCCCGTTGCTCCGCGCCCTCCACCCGCGAGAGAGCGAGGCGTTTACCGGGGCGGGGGTGGTGGGGCGTGCGGAGGGCGTCCCCTCCCTGGGCGTGGCGCAGGAGGGGCCCCTGTTTGCGGTCGTGTTGGCTGAGGGACCGCGCCGACAACAGTAGGGGGACACCCATGGCCGCATCATCATCTCTTCCCTCCCTCACCGTTGCGGCGCTCTCCCCTGCTGCTCTTCTGCTCTTTTCTCCCTCTTCTTACGTCCGGTGGGGTGTGGGGTGGTGTCTTTTGGGGGTTTGGGCTCCGTCCGTCCAGTCAGTGCTCTTGGCAAGCTCGGGCGT